GGGAAGAGCTGCTCCAGAAAACCAGGCAGGCTCTTGCTCCAAATCATTCTCAGCCTTCCTACTACCACTGCCTTTACTAGGGGACTGGCTTCTGTAGGGTGATGACACATTTGCAAAGACACCTCAGAACATCACTTACTCAGCAGTCTGTCCCTGCTGAGTTCAGGGGCGCTGCTCACCCTCATCATTCAGGATGAACTCAGGGCTTGCAGAAGGAAAGTCAGAACAGAGGGGGATCAAGCTCGGGGTAAATCTGATGGTATAACCAGGTCATTCCAGATCATGCCTCTTCAGGACACTGTCCTGGAACAGGGGTCAGATTAGTCCCTACACAGCCACACCAATATTTACCATTCAGGAGCATCACTGGAAATTACTTTGAGACCAGCATGTCACAGCACTTTTCAAAGCAGAAAAGGTTTCTATATTACCTTCATCTCCTCACCAGGAACCTCAGCTAAGTAACCCTGGTCAGTAGGGATGAGAGACTGAGTCTGGAGGAGGTGCTCCAGCTCAGGATTAAGAGGCAGAAGTGAGAATGATACCACAACTGCCTCTGCTCCCTGCTTTCTCTCCATGGGCTGCCTCATCCCACATCCCATGCTTTCACATTCCTGAATTAGTCTTTCAGCCCCTTCACTCTAGGACAATACTTTGGAGCTGGCTTGTTCTCCAAGAAGTTGAGTGGTTTCCTGACAGCCCCCCGAGTGGATGTGAAAGGCAGGCAGGCAGCCCAGCTGCACTTCTTACCCTCTGCTACCATAATCATGAGGAACTGCTTCTCTTTAGTACAATGCCCATCTGATGGGAGCTGGTGATGCTTCTCTCTGTGTGCTCCCTTGGTTGCTTGCAGCGAGGTGGAGACCTGAGCTGCTTTACACTCTGCCTTGGACCTTTCCCTTTTCTTTCTCTAAGCAAGGATACAGTTAAAACATAGCACCTAATTTTATGGCAGTAACAGGCCAAGCAACAGCTGAGTCCCAAAGACAAGCACATAGAAGGGGGAACAAATTGCATGAGTCAGACTAAAAGCTTCATAAATATTGACTGGTTTTAACAATCCCCTTAGGAACAGAGAATCTCATTTTGTAACTACATCTCCCTCCCCATTATGCACTCCCTCCTCTCAGGGAGCTGTGAGGGGGGTTGCTTTCCCAGCTTATGTGCACATTATTTTAATTCCTTTCTGCAGCCAAGCTGCTCTGTCAGGGGCTTTGCACCACACATCAGCAGAGTATCTGAGCACCTTCCACTGGTACTTCAAATAACAGGACCAGTGGGTTTTGTTCTCAGGTTCACCCCAGGGTAGGATTGACACAAGCAGAGGAGAAATCAGATATTAAACATGTAAGGGATGAAGGCTGAAGAGGACAGGATGGTTTTCAGTACCTGCTACTTTGATTCCTACCAGGTGAAGCACAGTTGGCAAGACAGGGGAGCAGATAGGAATGCAGACAGAAGAGACAAATAGCATCAAGTCTACAATGGTGATATAGGCAAGAGAAACAGGCACTATGGAAGAGAGAAGGGACTTGTCTACAGAAGATGGAAATGGTTTGTTGGGCACATAAGTTCATAGAGGCACATGGTGGGATGAGGGAGCAAGATAACTCCTGCCTTTCTGACACTGTGTATGTCCCCTTTCTGGCATGCTAAAAGCTCACCTACTCCCCACTTTGTCAGGAGGTTCAGGCCCCCACTCTACCTTTCCCTCTACAAGGTGTGTCCCCAACTCATTTCCAAGTTTGTTTGTCATGCCCTACCCTCATCTCATTCTTACAAACACTCTAGGCAAGAGAACATTGAGACATGAGTCTCCTCATATGTACCGCACAATATAAAATCCTACCTCTACCATCTGAGACTACCTGGTTGCAGCCAAGTCCCATCCTTGGTGCAGAGGTTGCAGGACAGGTCATATGCCCTTTCTCCCAACCTTAAGTAAAGGTTCTTCCCTGACAGGTACTCCCACAGCAGGTTGTCTGTTTTGGGACCAGGCAAACTATGGTTAAGTGGAGACCACAAGACCATAGCAAAGCCTGTGGATGCTGTTGAGGCTCACCTGATGTTTTCATGTGTTCTCAGGCAGCTCTGGAAAAGAAAAAATATCCTCCCTCTCTCCAAACCCCAAATGTACAGTGTACAAAGTGGTCTGGAAACCTGCCACTCCAAGCTGGCTCTGAAAAGTAGCCCTTTCATGTTCGCCTGCTTTCAGCAGCTCAACACTGCCTCCTGCATCTTACAAGTCACCCAAAACCCACAATGATTGCCCCTTGTCTGAGGCTTACCCTGAAACAGTAAGGGTTCCTCCTTTGGGGTTAAACTAAGGTTAGGTTATTTGGGGACTGTACCTCTTCTAGAAGTAGTCCTAACTTCATGAGAGTTAACAGCAAAGCCCAGAGTGACTTCAGAGAAATTCAGATTTTATATAACATACCTGAAAGCCTTTACTACTCCAAGGTCTAGTAGTCTACTTGGCAGAGAAGAGGGAGTCAGTGCACAGAAAGAAGCTGAACATTTTGAAGAAGATTATGTTCAAGAGCAGCAAGGGCCAGCTGCTCCTTAGGGAGCAAGGAGCCAAGTACATCCCAAAAGGTGCAAGCAGGGCAGACCCAGAGACAGCAGCCAAGTTCAGTCAAGAGCCCCAGTGATGAAGGAAGCCCATGATAGGCAGATCCAGGGTCAAGCTGGAAATCAAACCACTAGTCAGAATGAGTCCTGATGGTAGCAACCAGGGTCAAACACAGCCCAGTGAACACCAGACAAGTCCACACTGATGAAACACATCTGAGATCAAGCCAGGAAGTCAACCTGCAGGTCTGTGTCCAGACCAGTAGTGTGCATGGCCAAGAAAAGCAAAGACATAGCTGAGCTGCAGACTAGCATCCCCCCAACATACCTCAGGCAGAAACAGAGGTGTCCCAGGGTTCAGCTTAAATGGGTCTTCTTGGCCTATAGGCAGAGATGGTGGGTGGAGGTGCCAGCTGAGGCTGCTCAGGACTGTTAACACCCTCAGGGCCCTGGTATGCATACTCATCTCTCACCTTCAGAGCTGGTGCAGCTCAGGTTAGTAGTAACTCAGCTGCCTGGGCCAAGACTTCTCCCTTCCTGCCCTCTGGACTAGTTGGCTTTGTCCACCCTTGTCAAATTTCCAGTGTGATTGTGTTTGATTACCTGAAGTCTGTATAGCTTTATGAAAAGAGAAACTTCTCCATAAAGAGTCTTAGAGTAGGACCATGGGAGGTGGAGATGGAGCTTGCATCTTTGTGTTCTCACCATCTTTGAGTTCTAGGCACAAGTGCTCCTTGGATGATGTAGAAATTATCACTGAGTGAAGTAATAAGAAGAATATGGAGACTATGTTGTTTTTCTATTGAGAATAAAATACGTAAGAACAAAAAAATGCAATAGTATTTCCAGCACCTGGACAAATGGGCTAAAAGCAAGGGAATTTTCCAGGTGGGAGTCTTACAGAATCCCAACACTGCAAATCAACCATCTCATAACTGCAGCAAATGCAAAAAGTCCATTAGTGTCTGGCAGTGGCTGTCAGGTATCTACCCACCCACCCGCTGAGAGCATCCACCCGCTCACAGCATCCAGTCATCTCCCTTCTAGTGTGTAAACGTAGACTGGCAATCCCTCACCAGGGCTCTCAATTGAAAGGACTAGCACCCTCTATACATGAGTTGCTTTGGGGGCTGAACAGTTGCAGTGACCCAGAACTGAAATTTCTTCTCAGTGAAAGAGAAGTATTCCTTAATGGCAGCATCACATTAATTTTCACAGGCAATTCTTGCAAAAAATCTAAGCCTCTCCCCTCCACTTTTACTAAAAAGTAAATATTAAAAGGGGTATTAAAAGCCTATTTAATCTATATCTATCTAAGGTGCACAGCAAGTTGTAGGGAGAGCTGGGGACCAGAAGCCAAAAGCCCAAACATGGAAATTATATTGTCTTTTAGTTAAGATGAAGTGCAGGTACCATCAGATGAAACTATGTAGGGTAATCTGGCATGATGTGGTGTCAAAAAAGCACACAAAGTGAGTCACTAGGAGTGTATGTACAAGTCAGAGCTTGGCCAAACTGTGGTACAGATGATTCAGTTCTGCAGAAGAAGCAGAAGTGAAGAACAACATTTAGTGCTGTTACTATTACAACACTTGTCTTGGTAAATTTGTAATAGAAAACTAGTAGCAGGTCCCTGATCAATAGTGATCAAATCAAATAGAAGCCAAACCAAGATGTAGTCACGACCTGAGATGACATGGAATATGTGCAATGTGCCTCAATATTTTGCCCTAAGCTAATAAAATTTGTCTGTGCAGCCAGAATGAGCATCTGACCTTCCACTTTGTTCTTTCCCCCAGAAAAAAACTGAAGACAGTTGCCCATCCTTGATGTATTCCATATCTGCTGCCAAATCTGCACTCCCCCACTCAGACACAATCCCAAAATAGGGTGTGATGCCTTTCCCGTTGACAAAGCCATAAGTCACGGTGAGCGAGACACACTCAACATCCTCTGATCAGTTAAATGAAAAGAGCTCTCCCCCTCTGTTTCCCACCACTTCAGCACTCATTATATCTCACATTAATTAATATAGGTACTAGGAAGTGAGATGATAAATTACAAAAACCCATTAACCTGATTCTGTCCAAACTGGTGACATATGGCAACCTGTATGCTAGACAAATCTTCCTTGCTAATGTGGGAGTCCTCAGGTCTGAACTCCATTAAAGCAGCAGCCCCGAAAAAATATTTTTAATGTATGTACGTATGGAATGTATATTGGCGTGCGTGGATGGTGCATGCCTGTGGGAACATCAGAATTCATTAAATCAGTCTGATATGAGATATATTGAACAGGTTCCATCTGACGTCTGTTACTGGGTTGTTCTGTCCACTCCCAAAGGAGTGAATCATATTGACAGGTTGAATTATATCTCAAGAGATATTTTTCTCCCCTCCTCCAAAGGCCATTTGCAATCGCAGCACATCCACTGCCTCTTAAAAGTGAGCTCATCTGGCACTGGGTTGCATTGAAGTCCTCCACTGTGCCTGAAGGAAGAATGCTTTTGGGTGGTGGGAACGTGGAGAAGATGTGGTATGTCCAGCTGTCCCTTGGAGTGTTAACCATCTTGATCATGACGGCGTATGTCCCATCTACACATGGAGAGCCTTTTTTACTACAAGGTAAGCTGGAATAAAGACTAGATGACACAGGTAGGTGGTTATCTTTTTGCTTTGCTTTGCTTTGCTGCTTGTCATGGCCATGCAACACTTGCTTATCTGGGAAAAAAAATTAAAATGAACCTTGAGCTGTACTAAACCATCAATTAACACGGGTACTACCCATTCGCATGAGCTAAAGCTGTCCTTCTGGTCTGCAGCTGGTCGTATGACACATTCTGCTAATCAGTAAAAATATCAAATTTGGTGAAATCAGGTAAGGGTAGCTCTTTCTTTCCTAAAAGAGAATTTCCAAGGAAAAACATTAAAATATCAGAGTAGCAATTCCAATATGCACCATGTGAGATTTGGCAGCTCATAAATGTCAGTAGTAGGGTGCCGCTGAACTTTTTTTATTCGCAAAACTTCTTTTTATATGTTCTTCTCCCATAATTTAAATTAATCTTAGCTTGAACTTATTCTGCAGGGAAATGTCAATCATTAATCTTCTTTCTTAAAGAGATTTGGCAGTAGGAAAAAAAAAAAAGAGCACCTAAATATAGGCTTGAAAATAACATTGTTTTTCAAATGATTTTTCCTCTTATATCACCTATTTATTTTTGTAATGACAACCAAAACATTCCTGAGGCCTCTCTATCTAAATATTGCTTTGGTTTAGTTTTTACTAGAGTGTTTATAGGGGTTTTTTCCTGTAGCAAATCCCCCAAATGACTAAAAGTAGCTATTTTAAAATCATAACTGTCTTTCAGACTTAGGAAGGAGGTTTATAGCACTCCACGCTAACTGCAAGTTTTACACAGCATGTAGCTCGCCCAACTGCCTCGGGTTTATTTCTAGAGATCACAACCAGAACCAGCAGCTTCAGCTGCAGCATGAGGCAGGGTTGAGTCCGGCCAAATACTTGGAGCATCACTTTGACCAGGGCCCCTCAGCTTCTGCAGATTTATGTGACTTTAGCTAATGGAGCTGATTCCCACATACTCTTGAACATCCTTTAAGGCTCATCTGGTACAATGTTTTGTCTTGTGTATCAAAAATAGTTGCATTCATCCCCCCACAGCTATGTAGGGCTAATGGCTATACGAGACCATTTTCTCCTTTCTCTCCTCCTTGAGGGAGTGAGTGGAAGTCCTAAAGATCTTGGAAGAAGAGAAAATAAGCCTTTCTGCATAATTTCTTAGTATTTTCCATGGATTCTGTGGGCATCTTCTAGGGCTTTGTAGGGTCTGAGTTTGGGGCAGGGATGTTCAGACCAAAGATATTGGGGAATGGCCATTCTCCCTGTAAAGTCTGGCTCCCATTCTGTCATTCTCAAAACTGAATGCAGCATTCAAGTTTCAGATGATTCTGGAAATCTGTTCAGCAGAACTGGGAGGGTCTCAGAGCCTTCAGAG